AATATGTGAAAGTAGGTTGAAGATAGGTGAGTTCATATCAAGTTATGTTAGTTCAGGTAAGTCGGCAATATGTTTTTGTAGTATAGAATATACAATCGAAATATATATATAGTATATCAGCAAAAGAAGATCCCACGCATTATTTTCGAGAAAATCTATCGGCTATATATATTTCTGTCGTATAAAAGTTCCTTTTGTGAAACGGAAGTCGAATAATCCAAATCTCTTCTATTTTTTTTCTTTTTTTTATACATACACACACACACGCACACACATAAAAGTCTCTCAATTCTAAGAATTTCAAACCGCGTATTCAGAGATTCCGAAATCCAAAATCTTTCAATCCCATTCGTTTCTTATTTACACTCTCTTAAACAAATATAAACACGCTATAAAAATGTTTCTCTGTTGTGAATTTTATATATGTAAATTTTCAAAAATGTTTTCATAAAATGAGAAAAATAATTTTCAGAAAATAAAGTAAATACAAAGTACAAGAATCCATATCGATATTACTTTAATACTATTTTTACTATTGTTATTAATTGTCAATTAAATTTTATTTTTTATAGGTTATTTATTATTATTAATATTACTTATTAACTGTTATTAATCGTTATTAATTATAATTTAACTAATTTTTTTATCACCCGCCATTTGAAACTCATTTCCAGTGACACAAAATGCAAAACATTTTCCCTGCAATCATTTTATTTGAAAACACATAAATTTCCTGTTGCGCGCGAGAGAGAGAGAGAGAGAGAGAGAAAGAGAGTAGAATGAAAAAAAAATCGAGTCACGAACGTAAACTCCATCTGAATCACAAATGCACAGCTGATTTATAAATGCGAGAGTAGTAATTATCTAAAAGTCACTGATAAAAGCCGACAGTCCACATTTTACATTGTGCTTAATTATTTTTATAATCGCGTGGTTTTAGCTTCTGGCTCGTTTCATTTATAAGTTAAATAGAGAAAGGGGATATTTTTTTTATCCCCTCCATAGTTGTTATTATTATTATTTGAAATGCATTTTAGTATAATTAGATTATAAATTAAAATAGAAGGTAACTTTTTTTCTTTATTTTATATAAAATTAAAAAATTGGCACCTAATCTGGTAATCGTGCAATCACATGAGGACGCATTTCTCTTTTTTTAAAAAAAAGGGGGGGACAAATGATTATTATATGCCTATGTACTATATATATATATAGGGAGCATCGAGGACGTTAAAATAATATTGTGCTACCAAAGTATTATTTCCGAGGAATAGGTTGTTATCACGTCCATCAACAAACGTGAATTTATCGCAACATCGCTGTTCGTTAGCATGCAGTAGCGTTGGACAAACTTATTAATTCTGTATCATACATATTACGAGATCAGGTTTAACGATATTTTTGATGCGATACACTGTAATCGTTCTCTCTCACTCTCTCCATGTATGTATATATGTGCTCTCAACATGAAATATTTCACATTCTCGAAAATTTATAAAATCAAGTCTCAAATATTTGTAGCTAACGAAAGATATGCCTGGCAATTATTTAACATTAAACACAAACAATGTTGATTGTTTTTCTGTTTATTGTGTATCGAATTATTTTATTGCATTTCATGTGTTTTTCTTTATTTTAATGAAAAAAAATACTATGCAAATTTGTTGAGTTGTATTTCATTTATAATATAAACAAATTACTGAAAATATTTCTAATATTTTAATTTAAAAAAATCCTTATAAATAAATACAATCCATTTAGTAATATTCACTATATTTTTTGGGAACATTTAATATTCTTTTAGTAATACATACAATCTGTATAGTAAAATTTACATTCTGTATTCTATTATTTATAATGTGTGTGGTATGGAAAAACTATGTGTCAAACTGAACAGTTATAAAATGAAAAAGTTATTTATAGACTGGTTTGCCAGTATATGTGTAAAAGGGTGAATGAACTTCAATATTAGCTTTAATTCAGCATTGAGTGATTACACACTCGTTTTAGTTTGTCTATCGTTTCGCGTAGGTGAAAAGATATACGTTAACCATGGCGAATCATTGCTACGCAGCTTATGGGGGTGGTCGGCAAATACATAACAAACGCAGACCTCGTACATACATGCATATGTGCACTCATATACATATATATATATATATAGTTGATTCAAAGCTCCACATATTACAATTTACAGGCGTGTTCACTGTTACTTGTGAATATTCTCTCTATTGAGAACGTGTAAAGTTGAACACTGTTCATTGTGAGGTAACAATGTTTATTCTGTTAATGCCCATGCGATGCCAAACCCACGAGAATTAATTGATTGATCGCAATTATAATCAAATTCATATATATTTACGATGTCTATTCTCCGTGACAGATGGTCGCTTTTTAAATTAAAACATCATTTACACTCCTCTTTTTAATAGTATTTATTGCAAAATACAGAAAATAAAACCAGTATAAATAAATAATTTGGCAAATTTTTAAAAAAATTTCTAAATTTTAGATATTTATATGTATTTAAAAAAATGTCTGTGAAATTAATTGAGTGCAGAAAGACAGATATATTACATTCTCGAGATTGAAAGACATTATATGAAATCGGAGAATTTAAAATCATATCTAAATTCCTATGCAGAGAAATATCAACTTCTTCACGTCATAGAGGAATGTTATTGCAACTTGAGTGCACAAAAGCTCGAATTCCAGAAACTAGAGTTATGTGTTACTAAATATAGTTTTTCCTATATATCCGAAAAGCCACGTGTGTGCATAGGATAGAAAAGAAAATTAATTACATAAATAATAACTAAATATGTAAAAACAAAATTTATACAAAAATAGGTAATAATAAACGTTAAATAAAATTAATAGACCCAAAATTTAAAAATCAGTAACATTTTAACTTTTATTTGAATTTACTTTTTGCCACATAATTAAACTATGAATTAGTGAAAAAAAATTTTCTTGCATAATTTTGATTAGTAAAATTTACCTATAATTCATAGCAAAAAAAAAATCAAACAATAAATATTTAAAGTTAAATTTGTTACCAATTTCAAAAATGAAAGAGTGAAAAATGTTGTAAAAAGTTTGTTTATACCCAGAAGCATTTATACATAGTACCAACACACAAACTAACGTCATAAATATACATGTTTATATTTTATATTCCATGACATTAAAATCAGGAAATTGAAATTATCGAACAAAAAGTTTGGGAAACAATAAAAGATTTAATAGGGGCATGCTATGCTTTAGAACAAATTTCAGTCCCGAAAATTCACGTTTATATTATACTGTAAAAACATTTAATAGACATGTGGCGTATACGTTAGTGCATAATTTTAAGGAGAATATCAAAATTTCTCATGAAAATAAATAAACAACTTTATAAAGACGATGTCATAATTCGACAGGCAGTATTAATTCTAACCTATAAAACTGATTTTCACATAGTAATTCAAGTGGTATTATAATAAATCATATTTAAATAATTTATTATTATTAATTATTAACTATACTAATATTTTTATAAGTTTTAAATTTTTACTATTTTTCTATTATTATTATTATTATTACTATTATTTTTACAGATTGTAATAATTACGATGCAGATTAGAATTATTACAATACAGGTTGTAATAGTTACAATCCAATTTGTAAATATTACCAAATAGATTGTTCATATCACAATAGAGGTTTTAAATATAAGTTTTTTAATAACTCTAAATTTTTTTTTAATAGTCGAATTTCACCATATCCTCCCCTGAAATTATAAATGAAAAAAAAACATAATAAATTTATTGACGTTCATCCCGTCAGTTGAGAGCTATCGAATTGAATGGATCTTAGTAATTGAAAAGTAATGGAGCGAGGGGTTTTTTTTTGCAGCAGTAGCTTATTCAATTCAATTATAGGACGTGAAATATTTTAAGTGAGAGAGAAAGAGAGAGAGAGTGTGAGGTCCTGTGTTGATACGCAACAATGAACAGACACGCGCCCCTTGTAGTACAACCTGTGGGTTATACCAACTTGAAAGGCAACGATCCGAGATCTTTGGGGTGCTCGTGTAACCAACCGTGCCGATCAGAAAACGTAACATTAGACCCCGACGCCACGTAATTCGTCAGCCACGCCTCTTGTAATCGTGCGACACGCACGCGTATGGACCTCCGCGCCATCACGCGAATACAATATATATATACATAAACACATGTACTTTATACACTCTCACACGTGTACCCATTAAATCCTGTCCAATTACAATTACACAATGACCCCCTTTTTCTAAAAAAAAAAGAGAAAAAAAATAATAATAAACCGCTGACTGAAGCCTCAACACTCAACAAAAGCTTACAACTTGAGTTAAAAAATTTCTTCCAGGTATAGCGACATGTCATTACTAAATAATATGTACAAAAAAAGCAAACGTCAAGTCGAATAAAAGCAACAAAAAAAAACTATTATGCATATTTTTTGATTCCGTTTTCTTTGGTTAAAAATAGCCTCGAGCGACAATTTTCATTTTTTCTTTTTATGCATTTTTTTGGCAAAGAATAAATTTCATGGTGTAAAATACTTTTGGGACTTAAATTAAACGACAGGAATTTTTTGTGTACAAAGATTTTACAAGATTGTAAATATTACAATCGAATTTGTAAATAGTACAATAAAGATTGTGAATATTACAACCTATATATATACTATCAAGGTTCGACAGAATTTCAAGAGAGGATAGGAATTTTCCGAATGACGAGGCAGTAGGACATTTAAAGTGAAGTACACGCAATTCAGTGATCAGCGTGTGGGGATTTAACAGCTAAGCGTTTCGTCGATAAAATCCGGGGTAGAAAAAAAGGATAGGGAAATAAAAGAAAAGAGACGAAAAAAAAAATAAGAAGTGGATTGGTGTATATGTGTATTTTACACATAAACAGAAGATGATAAAAAATATATATACATATAAAAAATAATTGACGATGAAAACTGACCTTGTGTGCTCACGTTAGTGAGTACAGCAATGAAGACAACGATCGGAAGACACCTCATCTTTTCACCTTGCCTAGATTAAACCAAACGCCTTTTTCTTCTTCTTCTTTTTTGAATTCTTCCACAACGAGAGAGCTTCGACGCCAGCGCGTAAGCACTTTGTCACTTTTTAATATCGCTTTTCGTTGCACTTTAAGTTCACTTTATCGCTTTATCCACGCGCCACTTTGATCTTTGTGGTACACTCTGATCACCCATCACTCGATTCACGATACTTTTAAAGAGATGTGTATATATAGATATATTTTTTTCTAGATTTTATAACACACGTTCTCAAACTGAAATACACAATTTCACCATATTAGGAGATACAGCACTAAATTTTTTCAATTTCATTTTTTTATATTAAACAAAAGGAAAATACTTATTTTATTTATTTGTAATTTATTATTTATTTGTATTATTATTATTTTTTGCATTTGTTGTATTTAAAATGAGTCAATTAATTAGAAAAAAAAATTCTTTTCTTTTGTCGTTTAAAGAGACATGATCGGTGGAAATTCGATAGAGTAGAAAATGTTAAGGAGTGAATGGAAGTTAAATTCTTTTGAGTTGCAGAGGATGCTGCTTTGAATTTGCCAGCAGGTCGAAATCGCTTTTTACCCCCTCGAATAGTTCAGTTGCCTAACTGTTAGGAGAGAGAGAGAGGGCATGGCTTGTGTTCAACAGAACGAAACGAGGGCAGCAATGCCTTTTCAGTAACTAACAGAAAGGGACTCCTTGATTGGCTCTCGTGCACTCGCATCGCAAATGCGAGGAAAAAAAACACACACTATCTAAAAAAAAAAATAAAAAACACTCCCTTTTCCCTCAAAAACGATCCTATTTTATCGAATACAAAAAGAAAACGTTCTTTTCTATCACGCCAAAGTCCTTTTTTGATTTAATCAAAATCTCTCATCAAATTGAGGGGAAAATTTGTTTCTATCCTTGTTAAAATCTATCGAAAAATAATTTTAAAAAATAAAAAGATTTTTATTTTTTTTTAAATTCTATTTTCATCTCTTTTTGTTCTTTTAGTTTTCTAAAAATCTTGTAAAACTTGTACCTCTGTCAAAAATTATTTTTTCTTCTTCTTTTATATTTCTGTCAAAATTGTTTTTATTTTTGCCAAAAAATGCTTTCCTCTTCCACTGAAAAAAACCCCATTAAAAAAAAAATCCATTCGTTCTTGTCAAGCTCTTTTCATTTCTTTTAAAATCCCGTTGAGGTTTTATTGCTTGTTCTAAATCCTTTTTGTTTCTCTGAAATTACTTTTGTTTTCCTCAATATCCTTTGCCTTGGTTTTTTTCATTTCAGAAAAAAAGAGGTTTTTCTCAAATTCATTTGGCTTTCTGTTAAAATTCAAAATCAGTTTTAATTTTCTCGAATACGATTAAGTTAACAACCTTAAATTTCTTCCTTTTTACTTTAATCATTTCAAAAAATCATCAAATTATTAGGTGACTAAAAAAATGTCCATTTCTAACCACAGAAAAAAATTTATAAAACAAATTCATAAAAAAAAAATATATAAATTTTTTTCCAGCTGATCCTCAGGTTGGCTTTTCGAAGTCAAGTTTCAGAAAGGAATTAAGTTAGAAGAAGTATCCTGGTAAGCAAACTCAATGAGGCAGAAATGCGGATGAAAAGTTCAACGTTGACCTTTATCCCTCTTTGGCTGCTGTGCAAAGTATATAGAAAGCGAACCCCACCACCTCAAAGAAGATAGTTGTTTGAGAGGACTTTTGAAAAAGGGTGGGAGAGGGAGAAAAGTTTGTCCCGTGACGAAAGCAGCTCGTTGGCGGCCGTTGAGAGTGGGCTCTTGACGCGAATCTTGAATACGATCCTAATGATCACTACCGCGAATGACCAGCGGGGCTTTGCGATAAAGTCAGCTTCACTCACACACACACACACACACACACACACACACACATAGACCTTTTCTCTCTTAAGTTTCGCTTCGTAAAAATCAGAAGTTTTTTGGATAAATAAAAAAAAATAAAATAAAAAAACTACTAGTGAATATAGTCAATACAGGTTTTATCAATCTAGTAATAAGGATCAAATTGCTATCGATTAAGTTCCATATAACGAAGTTCCATCTAACGATGTTCTATGTAACGAAGTTCCATAAAACGAAGTTCCGTCGATTGGTACAATTGTCGAATTTTCAGATCAATTATTCTTTAATTGATGTTCCATCGATCTAAGTTTCATCAATAGAATTATCTTCTATCCAGTTTTTATCGATCGAATTTCCATGGATCGAACTTCTATCAATCGAAATATCCTCTATCCAGTTTCTATCGATCGAAGTTTCATAAATCGAAATAATTAAAATATAAAAAAAAAACCAAATATTTAAGGGAGAAAAATTTTTCCTGTAATGGAAGTAGATCGTTGGCGACCATTGAAAGTGGGCTCTTGACGCGATTCTTGAATACGATCCTAATGATCTCTACCGCGAATGACCAACGGGGTTTTTTCGATAAAGTCAGCTTCACACATACACCTTTTCTCTCTCAAGTTTCGCTTCGTGAAAGTCAAGACTTTTTTTTGGGGGGTATTTAAAAAAAAAACTCTCAGTGAATTGACTTTTTTTTTGACGGGATTTATCGTCGATGATTGATGAACTCGAGAACAACTACTCAACCCCTTGTGAAACGATCGCTCTCACATCAACGGACGTCGACTATATATATACACTATACTAAAGCTATATGAACTCGATTTATACTCCCCGACCTATGTGGAGGTTAATATCATGCACTCTGTTTCCCAGTTGCTGCCCTTTTGGCGCCACCCCCTTGTCTTCGAGACGTAATTAAATAAAACCACTAAGTGATTAATTGCAACAACCCCTTTTGCTTCGCGTTAACATTGCATTTTGCATCTTTCATATATATATACATACAAATTTTCTTATTTACAAAATAACTACAAAAACAAAATTAAAAACAAATTAACTCTCTTTTTTTTAGAGAGGAATAATTAAAAAAGATTTTTTTTAATAATCAAGTGATATTTGCTGCATTTAAAAAATTTACCAGAAGCTTAAGGTAAAAAAGTAAACACTATCACGCGGGGGCAAAAAAACGAAAGGAGATAATACTTTGATGCGCACAATAATCTGTTTGCTCAGTAAACTATAAGGGTCGAATTAAAAGATTGGTTGTTGGAAAATATTTACGTTAGCTTTCAATTTTTTTTATTTCCGCTCTCCGCTTACTTTGTTTCATATATATATATATATTTACTTTCTATATACGACTTGAAACGTTTCACTTCATTAAAATTCGATGAATGGATTATACACATATATATAAACTATTCAAAGTCAAGGTTTCCGGTTTTTTTCCACATATAATTATTTGTAAAAATTGGCTCAATTTATTTTATTCAGTAAATAAAACATATACAACAATGGTAATTACCAATGAATATGAGATGCAGCGGAAATAATGAAAAATCAAAATAGTCAATAAAAAAGCAATTGCATTAATTGCATTCAATACAAATGAAATAATTATCAAAGCAAAAATTGACAATTATAGAAAAAGTAACAAAAATAAGAAAAATAGCAAAAATAAAAATAATATAAAAGCAATAATAAAATAATAATAATAACGTATATCGAATTATTTTCTATTCAATTTCCATTGAGCGAAGTTCTATCGATCGAAGTTCTATGGATCGAAGTTCTACAAATCGAAGTTCTATCGTTCGAAGTTTTACCGATCAAAGTTCCATCAACTGAACTATCTTCTAATCACTCCTTAAATCTGAATTAGTAGAAGTTTCAACTAATTGTAAATTCCTACAAATAAAAAGAATTGAAAATAAATTAACGAATATAATAATAATAGAAAAAACAAACATTTGAAACAGATTAGAGGATTTTTAATAAAATAAAGCAATTGGTTGAAATAGAATGTCAAGGAAGATTTGCCCGAGGTGTAAACTTGTCCTGGCGACTGTCAGTTTAGATTAACTTGGAGCGTAAACGAGGCAGTTTAATGTCCTATAGATTTTCAGTGACTGACTGTTCGATCAAACTCTGTTTCAAATGTTTAGTAAAAGTGTGGTTTCGGCATTTGGTTTATTCGCCAAAGTTTCACTTTTTCTCCCCCACCAACTCTCCCACCCTTTCTCCCTCCTCTTCCTACATTAAATTCGAATAGTTTTCACAGTTAGGAATAGTCTCTGAATGAAAAGCAGTTGGGGGTAAAATATTTTTTCCCCCAATCTGGATCACAAAAAAGAGAGAGAGAGAGAGATAGAGAAGTGTGTGTGTGAAAGAGAGAGACGACTGTTTATTACTCCCTTTTGACAGGGATGGATCATTCGTCACGGATGTTATACGCCTCGTTTACTCAACGAAGCACAGTTACGTGATCGGAGTCAAATAAGATTTCACTGACAACTTTTATGATGTTCTAAAGACACACACAGATACAAAATCGAAAAAAAATTATCTTGTCCTCACAATGACACTTTTTTTTAAAACTATCGTCACTTGAAATTTAGGAAAATTATAATTATTCCCAATCGAATTATCATAGATCAAGTTATTATCGATCGTACTCTTCTTTATCAAGTTTCCATCGATCGCAGTTCCACCGATCGAAGTTCCATGAATCGAAATATTCTCTATCCAGTTTCCATCGATCGAAGTTCTATCTATCGAATTATCCTCTATCCAGTTTCCATAGTTTGAAGTTCCATAGGTCGAAGTTCCATAGATCGAAGTTCCATAAAACGAAGTTCCATAAAACGAAGTTCCATCAATCGAAATATTGTCTATCCAGTTTCCATCGATCGAATTATCTTCCATCAAGTTTCTATAGATCGAGGTTTTATCAATCGAATTATCACAATTCCACTTTTTTTTAAATTCGAAATTTACAAAAAATCGAATTTTATATTTATTTACAATTTTTCTATTTGCCTAAAAAAAATGTTACTCCAAATATCAAAAGGGAAAAAAAACAAAAACTACAAAAGCACCATAAAAATCATTTCAAACGAATGTTGTAGGAAAAAAAAACCCCGAAAAATGGAATTTTAATCGTTTAAAAAAGCCCATAATACAAACCCGAAAAAACGACTTTATGATCAACTCCTATAAAAAATCATTTTACATTCAGTTAAAAAAAACACACTTGTAACGGACATTAATTGCCTTACGGGCAAAAAAAAATATATATATATATATATATATATATACGAACATTTTTTTCAGAAACAATTTCAGTATTTTTTTTCTGTTTTTTTTTGCACGTTAATTAATATCCAGAGAGCTTGTGATGAAGTATTCCGTTGGAAAAACAAATGGTTACGTTGGAAAAAATATGTATATATATATTGAACCACATTCGTGAATATAATTGACAGCTATTTGCAACCGATTTCATGAAAATAAAAAAAAAAATTTCCAAAACAAAAATAATCCCCCTTTGGGATTAAATGTACTTTATAAAATGATATGCAATCAATGAAAGTGCTATTGAAAAATATTTTAATCTACACACACACACATTGATGGGGCGAAACAATTAAAATATTATACCATCATTATGAGAAAATTTTTGTTCCTACAACAATTTAATTGTTGTTATAATAGTATAACTAAACAATAAAAATTTGTTGCAGCAGCAAAACAGATTTGTTGAAAAAACAAACCAAATTTGTTAGTTCTATATTAAAAATCATGTTATTAGATTTAACAATTCCTTTTCCTCATTGTAGTATATATCGAGAAGTAAAACTGTTAATTCTTGTATTATAATAGAGCCAGACAATGTCTATTAACGTCAATGGATGAAAAAAAAACTTTAAAACCTCATTAAACTCTCGGCGTACGGTTCATTTACTCGTGAATCTATTATTCCCTGCTTGAAGGTTTGGGTAAAATTGTTATATATCTATACACACAAAAGATAGACGAAACGAGGTAAAAGTGAAAAATGTCCAAATTTTCACACTTGAAGGAAAATTGCTGAATATAATCCCTTGAATTGAATCCAGTCGTTTGAAGATTTAACTTAACTCTTTCTTTTTTAATTTACCACTATTTTTTCCTGGGTCAATGATTTTAAAACAAAATACCACTTCCTTATATTATAATTCAAAAAAAAATTTTTTTTTTTAATCTTAAAATCTTCTCTTAGTCTTTTGGAATTTTATAAAATTAGGTTTGTCTCGACAGGATTTTTGGAGTAAAAAGTAAAATTAAAGAATATTTTGGAAACCCTTTTGATTCAGAAAGAAACGTTGAAAAAATTCTCAATATAATCCCTTAAATTAAATCCGTAAGAAAAAAACAGTTTTGAATTTCACCCCCCTTTTTTTGAGAAGGGGTTCAATGATTTAAACACCACGCCCTCTTTCCATCAATCCCCGGGCAATTTTCCACAAATATTGAAAATCCCAAAAAAAAAATTTCAATTTGATCATGTAACTTTATAACAAAAACTACAATTTTTTTTTTGAAAAATAAAATTCTCACCCATTATTGTTTTTTTAAGAAAATTAAAAACAAGTCTGTCGAGATTGTCTGATATATTTTTTTTATAGTGTCAAATCAAATAAAAATTGACACTTGTAAACTGTTGGAGAAAAAAAAAAAGTTTCATTTGCCCGTGGGGTTTTAGGGGATGAAAGTAAAAGTTGCCCGAGACGAGGAAGACCGTACTTCCCTCAATACGTAAATATATATGTATATATCTATATACATATATGTATGTATATATATATGATGCGCGCACTGTGCGTCAGAGATTGCACGTGTACGTTCGCGTCGATCGCGGATTCAACACTGAAAGCATTTTAAACGCTCTGAAGTTTTAGTTCGAGGCGCTCCCGTGAAGCGTCGCGACGCCCGATTCCCTTAGTCCGCACGCTCGACCGTGACTCCCCGGTCACCGATATCGTGTAATATATACACGCACGCACCAAGAACCCTCAATATATATATATATGTATATGACAAACACACAAGGGTCATCCCGTCGTCGGTCCAGATCTAATGCCAAGGTAATATAATACTTTGGCGAACCAAAGAGATATCGATCATCAATCACTTCAATGAATCGTGATATTTAAAAGTCACATTTTGGAGTTGACTTCACACGCAACAGAATCAAACAATTTATACGAAATTAACGAAATTTAAAGTTGACGAAAATAAAAGTTAGGGAAAAAAAATTTTTGAACCATACTTTGAGGTGACTACTTTGAACCTATCTTGAACCTACTTCAAACCTACTTTAAACCTACTTTCACCCTACCTTGAACCTACATTTACCTACAATTGAACCTCATTTGCAACATCTTAAATCGTTAAAATTTCTAAATAAAAGGCATCAAAATAAGAAATTCCTAAACTCTGCTTTTTAAATTGTGTGGACCCACTTTTCACGAATCACACCGGAAGAGTGTGAATTTATAGTTTCAAATTTCGAAGGCAGCTGGGCGTCTACCAATCCTTCAAGTTGATACTCTCGTATAAATTCTGCCATGAATTTTATTCACTTCTTCAAAATTTTCTTTAGAAACGAAGTATATGTATATATATACCCGCATATAAGCATTGAAACTATCTGGTTTTACTTGCGTTATGAGCTCGCATCACTTCCTTTTTGCCCGGAATATCCTGTGTCGTTCAAAAGGAACTAGAAACTCAATCCATTGAGTAAAATATATACATATATATATATAGATATATATTGTGAAAGGTATATAAAAATTTTCTACTGAAATCCAAAGTGGAAAAAAAAGGTCAAAAACCATGTGAGAGGAGGAATTTAAAAAAAATTTTTGAATTTTAACATTTGAAAATATATATCTAACAAAAAGTAAATAATATCATGTATAAATATTGTCAAACAATTCTTTTACAACACACATGTAATGATATATCCTTTTCGCTGTATTACGCGAAAGTCACAAAGTAAAGAGAAAGAAGCCATGTATATACAAACTTGCAAAACTAGCAAGCAAGAAGGATAATTCCTCAAAACTTTGCTTCGCTATAATATATGCAGGGTTTCTCTCTACTTTACGTAACAGGAAATTGAATTGGTCACTTGCTGCTCCATGCAAGACAATATAAAACAATATATATACATGTATAAAAATTCAAGAATTGACGTCAAAAAAAGTTATATAGCATTTCTATAGTATTGAACCAAACATTTGTCGTTTTTCATTTTTTTTTTCAATATTATTTGCTTCTTTTAAGGGTTCCGTACATGTTTCGCAATCCTATTATAATATTGTTTTAAAATGAATAGTTTTTGCACTATAGAAATTAATTATATCATGCGTTATGAAAAATAAAAAAAAAACTCACCAATACTGATGATGGGTCCTAACTTACAGCTCCGGGACCCAGCTCCAGCGGATCCTCTTCTTTCTTCAGCCCTAAAACAACTTCAAGGGTGAATCCTTAGACCAGCAGAAAAGCTTATCTTTTAAGATTTACCCTTAAAGAGGTAGCCAAGAAGGTGACTCGCAAAACAAAACGTGCAGCAAACTTCTTGAAAATTATTTTATTTGTTAGAATAAGCACACTTTTTTTTAAACACACACTAAAAAAGATGAATTATAAAAAAATTATAAAAATATTTAAAATAAATGTTCTTTTTAAATATATAGTTTACTTTTCAATGTTAAGATAAAATTTCATTGTAGGCGGAGAATAATTTTAATTTATTGAAACCGATAGTAATTCTTTTTATAAACCCAACTAGTAAAATATATTAATTATAATATACGAAATATTGTGATCATATGTTGTGCTAATTGGGCAAAAATTAAATAATTATGCATTATAATTTTAATTAAATTTATACAAAAAGGTACAGTATGAACGAAAATATAACAGATATAAGAATTTCTAAATGTTATTATTGATGTTTCCATCCATTCACCCATGCATAAATCCATCTATTCCTTCAAACACCTATTCATCCATCGATCCATACGTCAATCAATCCTTCCATCCATTCATCCACCCATCCTACAATCAATCCAAACATCCAACCATCAATTCATCCATTCACCCATCCATCTATCCATAAATCCATACATGCATCCATCCATCTATTCATAAATCCAAACATGCATCCATCCATCTATCCATAAATCCAAACATGTATCCATCCACCTATCCATAAATCTAAACATACATCCATCCATCCATCCATACATTCATACATCCATCTATTCCTCCAAACATCCAACCATTTATTCATCAATCAATCCCTCCATTCACTCCAACATGAATAATAACATTTAGAAATAAAATTTAGTGTACATGTTTTAAAAAGTGTACTTATGCAAACTAAAAAATAAAATGCGAAAAGAAAGTGCAGTTGGGTATACGCAGTACGCTCGCCTTATCCCACTAGCGGGTCAATGGCTGCAACTACTTACAAAGTATACAGCCATAAGTGCAAAGATATACAAGGAAATATGAACCGTGATGTTAAATGCGTGATTCATTATATTTCCCAAAATCAGGCAGGTGAAAAATTATATGATCATCGCATGTCACAAACATGGCTGACATTGTCATGCATAAACTTTACGGGGATGATCCTCAAATAAATTTTTTATAAAAATATGTTTATAAAAAATATATTCAATTCTCAATAAGACGCTTTCGAAATCCCTGGCATAATAACTTCAAATCAGCCCTCCCACCCCCCCCTCTTCCCAGTTTAAAATAAACTTTTAATATTCGCGCAAAAATACGATCGCGATTTAAATTGTAATTCGGACGCGCGCACGTAACGAGTTGTCTTGTATATATATATATAACGAAAGACAAACAACGAAAACGAATTTTGAAACACACCCTAAGAAAATTTCGTTCGCGATTATAAAAATGTCGAACACTCCCGAAGCTAATAGATTTTAAATCCGTCGCGACACGTACAGCGGTATCCGTATACGCTGTATAACGAGAATAATAAAAAAAAATATTTTACATTATATATATAATAAGCGACCGTCACTTTCACTAGGTTCGAACACTCCCGTATAATGTAAAACTAAAAAAAACACGCTTTTGACCTGAAACAAAAAATAAATTTAATTAATAATTTTTAATTAATTTGATTAATTAAACACTAAATAATTATTTTAAATCTGCTTTACCGATGTAAACCATGAAATCTGTTTTATCAGCAGTCGGTAAAACAGTTTTGACTAAGAATTATCATCGATTTAGTCAGTCTAATCTGTTTTATCAGCAGTAGGTAAAACAATTTTCACTTAGAATTTATGGAACTTCAATCAATGAAACCTCGATCGATGAAAACTGGATCGAGGGATAAATTCGATTGATAAAATTCGATCGACAGAAATAAATAAATAATAATAGTAAATAAATTAAACTGTTCACTATTGGTATTTACACTTTTGAGGTCGATTTTTTTTCTTTCAGTATTAAAGATCTTTTTCCGACAGCTTCTTTGAATATACTCTAGTTTTAGAAATAAAAAACAAAAAAATAAAAATAAGAAAGAAAGAAAAAGGGAAATAAGAGGAAACCTGAGGGTTTTCACAGTTCGTACTGGTAAACTATTATGTGCTTTTCCAGAAGATTGCGAAACGCAAAACTGTCGAGGCAATTGGAGCATCACTGATCACTTCACATTCAAGTAGGAAATTATTTCCTAAAGCTTCCACTGTAATAGAAACTTTCCATTCACAGCCGCTATTTGGGAGAAATTGACTCCCGCTGTATTATGAAAGTTATACACGAGAGTTACTATTTAATAACAATAATAATAACTTTAATAAAATGTGTAATATTTCTTTAAAATGCAAATAACAATATTTAAAAAAAAACATTTCTCTCAAATCAAAATGATTTGAGTAAATTTTTCTTTTAAATTTAAGTTTTTTGTGAAGTAGATATAATTATTATTATATAAAATAATTTTACCAAATTTTGATAAAAAAAAAGTTGTTAAATGTTAAAATAATTCAATATTTAATGTATTTTTAATTCGACGGGCAAAATTTTACAAGACATAATTTTTCTCCATTACAGAGAGTATATGCTTTACGTGCAGAGAAGTTCCCAAGAGCATTGAATTAATAAATTACGTGAAACTGTGAGGGTTGGTAAGTTTTTCTGAATAATTAAAGAGTAAGCGAGAGTGTCAGAAGGATGATTGTATAACTGGTTAAAAATAAGAAAATGTACAATGTTTATTATTATTTCTAACTTGCCGCAGATAAATCATTTTTCTCAACAGAATAGAATATTGTAAAAAGAAGAACAAAAAATAATATTAAATTCAATTTAACAAATAAAATTTAATTTGATAAATAACAGGATTTAAGAGGAATAAAAATTTATTTTTCGTAAGGATTGTACTATTTTCAATGCTAAAGATAACAATACTAAAAATTTCAGTAAAATCATTTACAGTGTTGGAAATTTAATTTTCATTTCTTTTTTACCATATGGCCCACCCACTTTTAGTAAATATATATATCTATATATATAACAGCTTATTGGCGGACAACACGCAATTCTGTGTTGTCGCTTTGTCTCATAATTAGTCGGTTAACGACTAATTAATAGTACATGCGACAAACGCACCTCAGCTAGTATCAGGGAAAATGTATCAAGGGACTGAATTTGGTATATATCGAAGTCTCTACTGTGTTGCAGATTGTCAAACAATAGATTTCATTGCGCACGCGTATTCAGTAACAGCTGGTGGGCAAATTTTGTAATTCAAACTTTAATTAATTCCATGGGCTTTTGTATTATACTGTTTACAATTAGAGAAATTTCTGATTTACCAGAGAGAGAGAACCTTTGCACACAATTTAATTTACTGTTGCAATATTATTTGTGATTTTTAAATATTTATCAACATTGATTAAATTTATATTCAAATTAGACATTTCGAAATTTGTTTCTGAACAAATCAGTTTTTATTCAAAATCAAAATTTTAAGATTGTGTGTGGTATTTTCAGATTTTCAAAATTCAAAATGGCGGATCCAATATGGAGGACGAAAAAATTTTAAATTTTCCTAAATTTTGTCACTCGGAGGTGTCTGGGATCGCTGATTACCAATTTTCAAAATTCAAAATAGCGGATCAAGGACAAAAATTTTGAAATTAGTTTATTTTTTATTTATTTTTAAATTTTTATCCGTCTTTTACAGACAATTGTCAACTATACACGTAAGTTAAAATTAATTTACCAAGTTAATTGCGTGAAAACTACATTGAAATGAGTAAAAATTTAATTGATTTTTGTTATTCGTGCCAATGTCTATGACAAGAATGACAAATGTTTCAAAGGACAAGCAATATATATATATATCAAACTTGACGAATCAGGGATGACGGCAACAATGGGGACGAGTCTGGTTCGTGATCCAGTGAGAATCGAGACACTAAATGAATTCCAACCCCAACTAAGCTCATTGAAATCTCAATGTGTACACGAACGGAGCCATATTGTCGAATACGAAACACAATATGCATACATATAAACCTATATCTCCATTGATAAAAAAAAATATCAACTAAATTGTTAAAATTTAATTCTCACTCAATTACTGATTAATCTGATTTGTTAATTTTATTAATAAATAATAATTCACAAAGAAAAAAATTGAAATTTCAATCACTAAAATATTCAGACATCGTAATGGAATTACAAATTTTCAAATAATTAAATAGAAATCTAATGGAAACATTGTTTACCAAAAAGGATTTCAAATATGGAATAATTTATGTGACGAAAGTTCTACATAAATTTTTTAAACAAGTTGACTATACATATACAGACACAAAGACATGGGGACTTGATTGATCAATTTTGGTTATTTTCGTTCCGCCCTAATTTCTAGTTTCTCGTCTATTCGCAAATTACATCCTAAACATATCTTTGTCACGAAGGCGGTGAACGGATCGCGCACGATGAGACACTCTGTCGATTCTCATTATATTCACTAATAATCATGTATATATATGTGTGTGTATATGAGAGCAAAGATTACTTAATGATCTGGAATCTTGAAGGAATATTGGAAGCTAATTAGGTCAGTGCGTTCCTTAACAGGATACTTGCGTTCAAGCGTAAACGAAAGGCGTGTCAAAAAAAAAAAAAAAAAAATCTTATTAATTATCTAAAAGTAGATTTACCTATTTCGAAGAAAAATATTTTTTCTTTATTCTAGTTTATTTTTTAGGGTTCAATCCCTAGCGTAAGATTCTTTTTAAAAATAAAACATTTAAATTGAACAAATATAAAACAAATAAATGTTAATATAAAAAATAAAATAAATTATATATATTATAATAAATAGTAATTTAAAAAAAGTAACAATATAAAACAAAAAGATATTGAATAACATGGATATTTTAACAAACTTATTATTGGCCTCAAATGTTTAATGTTTTAATCCGTTAATGGTATTTAATAATTCGATGAATTAAATCATTAAATATAATAACATATGAGGTGATTCAGTTCATTGTGCATTTTATGAGCTTTGTTCAATAAAGCACATCAATTAATTTTAGATGGAACAATCGCGTTATAAAATTGACTCCGATTGACAGCACTAAGTCGAAATATTCGCCAGAGAAATTTCATTCTGTTAAATCACATACATTTATTGTATTTTTCTTTCTCTCTCTCTCTCTCTATTTTTGGGAAAAGTACGCTATAATATAATGTGAGTAAATAATTTTCCAAAACAGCTCTGAATATACTCAATATTAAATTAAAAAAATTTCTTTATTAATTAAAAATTTTGTAAAATACATTGTTATTTAATTTAATTTCAACGTAATTCCAGAGAGGATAATTTATTCCAGGAACATTCCAATAAAAGTTTTGAATATTCCACTGGAATGTTCTAGGAAGGTCCTAGGTATGAGAAAAAAATTTTTATGAAAAAATAAATTTTTCTATATAAAAATTATGTTAAATAAAAATTGTTACATGACATTTTAGATAAAAATATATTTTTTAATAGAAGATACTTTTGAACTCAATTATTTATATTTATATTATATATATATAGTTTTTCACGGTCGCGGGTGATACGTTTATGCGCGATTAATACTGGCTGCGTTCAATTTCCCCTTGGAATCGTCAAAAAGCGAGATATTTCGAAGCAAATTTGTTTAAATGCCATCCAAATTAAATTCAACGCCAGTATTTTCTACCCGATGACTGACCCAATTGACGTTCATTTTGATGACAAATGTCGAGAATTATATCTGAACACTTTTTCAACTTTTTTTTTTTTTTTTTTTTTTTTTTTTTTTTTTTCAAACAGAGATTAAACTTTTCAGTAAATTCATCCAGAACACGTTATACGTAGTTACTCATTTTTATCAAATTTCAGACACGGTATTTCTGTGCGATTTTTTCAGTATATATTTAAAAATTCTCACGACAAAAAAAGAAAATATTTTCAATTATAAAATAAAAAATTGATTGCCTATTAACAGATATAGATATTTTAATGCTCGAAATCTAAATTTTGTTTGCATTTGCTTGAATTTGAACTTAGATTTAAAAAAATTTTTCATGCTTCATATAATTAATTATTGTAATATTAATTATAACAACATTGTATCGCTTAATATATACATATATGAATTATTATCATCATTTTACGCATAATTAACATTCATTGAAACATTAATTTACTGTAAAATTCTAGTTGAAAATTGAAATATTAAATATTAACACGAAATTGAGATTATATTTCAATTAATTAATGATATTTATTATATATGATTTGGATTGCATAAATTTTATTATTCGGGGGGCGGTTTAAACACAATTGTCAGTTTTTCAAAATTAAAAATGGCAGATCCAATATGGCGGAAAACTTTTTGTAAAGTTTGAAACTTGTGAACTGGAGTTTTTTTTGGAATTCCAGATTACGAATAATTGATATTTATTCAATAATTGATTTAATGAATAATTAATATCTATTTAATTAATATTCAATTTATATTTTGTATATATAAATATATATATACGAAATAATGAAATTGACGATATGTTTTATCTCAAATCTTGTCATTACGCGCACTGGTGAGTGCTTACAATGTATGACTGAGTCAACGCCAACACACGCTTTGCATTCTATCGCCCTCTGGAATTTCCCGGGGGCGAATATATAATTAACAGATTAATTAATTGAACCGTCGGAATGGGGAAGACGAAATTCAGATCGACCTCGATTTAAAAGGAAGAAGAAGAAGAAGAAGAAAAAGGGGTGGAGGAAGTGGATGGGGCCGACGTGAGATGATCGAAATATGGGTTGAGAAAAACGTCGCGAGGTGCTAAAAATGGATGAGCCCGCGAGAAAGCGAGAGATAATAAAAGGAAAGAGTGTAAAACAAGAAGTGCGGATGATGCAAGTGATGGACCAGAACCTGAAAAGATGCGCACAAGACGAACGAGCCAAGGAGAAAGATGTAGATGAAGTACTACCAAGAAGATATAGGAAAGGGCATCCTTCAGATTTACATTTTGCCGGTGCTACGGAATATTAATGTACACCTTGAGACGTTAAAAAATCAGCACTTCTCCTCAACACTTCTCTCTCTCTCTCCCTCTCTCTTTCTCTCTTACTTCTTGTTAACGTCCCCGAGCTTTTCCCACCTACCAACTTGAACGTCAGAGGAAACTTAATACAACTTATAACTTATAGTCCTCGAAATTACACTATTAATTTCCACCATAAGCCATTAAGTAAACTTTGTGTTCTGTGAGGATCCATTCCATGTACTTACAAAAAAAGAAAAAAAATACAATTTTTAACTTTCAAAAATTATTTGAATTTGAAAATTGTTTACATCAAATATCAGTGTTATTCCAATATGTTCTAATTTGAGAGACAAATTTCCAATCTGTTTTCTTGTTTTATTTTAATTTCATATCAGATTTTTTTTTTGCAAAAACTATTCAATTCGATCGTATGAAAAACCAACCTGTTTTTATACTTACATAATGACATATGTCACCAAGCTGCCTTTTGACTCCCGCACGTACCTGCAACAAAAAAAAAGACAGTTATACATTTATTAAAAGTTAGAAAAAAAATAACAATTCAAATTGTCTAATTTCCAAATGTAACAAGCACTAAATAAATAACAGATGTATTTTGAGCACGACTTAACCGTAAACTTCTAAGACGTGTGAAGCAAACTGAATTTCTACGAAATAAATGAATACGATGAAAAGGATGAAAAGGTCCGAAATATCAACTCATTATAGAAGATCGATTATTCTTCCTGGAATAAATAAATACATACACGTGTGAAGGCGAACAAAAAAATGTATTAAATTTCTCAAATGACATTTCCCATGTTTGCATTTTAAATATTTCCTCCACCCCTCTATTTTACGCTTATTAATTACTAAAGGTAAACCGACTTTCACTGAAATTGATCTTATGAATATTTGCGGGGCTCTCGATTAAATATGAATTAGGATTTAGTTCCCGCACTAGACATGAAATTTAAACTGGGTCTTTAAATAATTTATAGCAAACGATCGCAAATAGTTAGATTCAAGTAAACTGATATTTTTTATTAAGGATATCCTTCCAAATTATACAAATAATTTTTACTACTTTAAAAAAAATATACATGTACTTTTCTCTTTATTTAAAATGGTGCTAATAAGAAAATAAAAACACTCATTTTTTACAATGTAGAATATTGGAAGTGGGAAATGAAAATGGAAAGTGAGAAGAGTAAAGTGGGAGATAGAAAGGGCAGATAATAGGGAAAACTAGTCAGTGCCACATTTCATTTTCTGCCCAGAATGTAAAATAATACAAACTATGTACATTAAACATTTTACACATAGTTCAAATGGTGTTTAAATATACATGTTCTGGATTTCACAGAAAGAAATTTTTTTTATAAAAATGATATAAAAATTTCAATAAGAAAAGTAGTTTGACGTTCAGGTTTTTGACGTCACTTCGTAATATGAAACGTTTTCAATATTGAGATGAAAATTGGGAGATTTTACAAAGATATATTCTTACATGCGGAAATAACATTTCGAGGTATATTTCTTGAGATATGTAAGGTTGTAAAACTTATTTTTTCAAAAAACATTTTAAAGATATTGAAAATAAGTCTTTTTTATAAAGAGGTATATTTTTCCACTCTTCTTTCACAAATGGAAATAAATATTACTTTTACAAGGTTATTGAATGACAAAAAATGGCGTATATATACAATTTAAATTTTACAGTTTTTAAATATAAAGACACGTTAAAGGCGAAATGTTTGTTTGTAAAAAAATATAAAGATTGGTTCCACAAACTTGTATTTCAATTTTTAGTGACTCTGGCAAATAATGTTGCGCGTGCCATGTAAGCATCTCCGGTTTCAAGGGAAAAAAGGCGCGTGTGCCTCAGGATAAACCAAGAGGTAAGGAGACTTCCGAAGCCATAAAAAAAATTGGCTACAAAATACTTCAACTTGGACCCTAAAGTAGATATACGATTTCCGTCACTTGTTATATTTTTTTTTCTCTCCACTTGAAAAGATTCCCCGGAAGAGTTTCGAGGACATGCGGTCAGAATTACAGTGCTATTTCCGTCGGAATTCCGTTTTAAATTCAGCAGAAAAAAATTAAATTATAAGAATAATTTCTGTCGAAAATTCGTTAAAATCATATTATTTTGGCGGATTTCCGTCCGAAATAAACGGTCGGAATTCGGACAAAATTTTTCTTTCTTTTCTTGTCGATTCCATCGAAATTCCCATAATAATTTTGCAGCAAATGTACAAAAAAATAAAATTAAAACTACATTTTTCCAAGAGCATTAAACACACGCGAAAATAAAAAAGAATTTTTTTCCTCCTTGTCCATTCATTTAATGAAATTCAGTAATTAATTAAATGCGAAAGTATATATATATATGTCTTGAGTCTTTGAGTATGATAATTAAAGAAAAGCGCGGAAAAGAAGAGTTAAAGTATAAAAAATAATGAAAAAAATTGTTGAAAAATAAAGTAAAATAAAAAAAAAAAAGTGGGTAACCAATGAAACTTATGAAGAAGAAAGAGAATTGTGTGCTCGCGCGGTGAACCGACAGAAAAGTCAGGACCTCGTAAATTTTTTTTTTTTTAACGACGTGAGATATTCGAAAGCAAGTGACCGCCATCGTTACCACGTCCTTTTAACTAAATTAGCCTGTTTTAAGTTCGGGAGCGAGCATAGTCGATATTTTAACGCGTCGAAATCACGCGAAGTGACGCCTCGCGTCCCAGGGGCGTTTTCTTTTCCCCTGAGATGAACCTCGAGGATTTAAGGTTAAGGATGGTGCGCGAAACGAGAGATCCCTTCGGTCCCCTTTTATATATATATATATATATATTGCAACGTTATGAGTAACGTGATCCGTTAAATTATGCATTTGCATAATTGCAGAGTAAGCAAAGGAGCCAAAGTTGGAAAGAAAAAGAGATGAAAAAAAAGAAGAGGAGCAAGAGCGCACGGCGTTAACGTTTGTATAAGTCAATCTTCAAAATCAACGAGATAATGACTTGAAAGAGAAAGGAACGTGTTGGAAAATAAAAAAAAAATGTTCCAGTTTCGTGAAATGTCTTACGAGCAAGGGTAAATAAAACATAAGGCTTAGGAGGAGAGAAAAGAGAGAGAGAGAGAGAGAGGATTTGAAGAATTTCTTATACTAAAATCTAGTTGGGTCAAGTGGTCTAAACGAGAGTCTCTGCTCTAAAAGAGAACGAGAACAACTTCTCTCTAGGAATTCAACCTTATTTTTAAAATTTTTCTCCACTTCTTCAAAGCAAAGTAAATCGTATTTATTTTGGCATCTAGATATACATGAAATTCAGTGATAATATATATTTTTTTTCAACAAAATAATTGGTTTTTAATTTAAATGAAATTATTATCCAAAAATTAGGAACAAGTTCAAATTGTATTCGATTTTAGTTACGTGACTCGAGGGATGCTGTATATGAGGCGAGAATAAAGAATGAAAGAGAAAGAAAGCACAAGAAATGAAGTAAAGGTAACAGAAATAGAAGGCAATGCGATGGGGGGGTTAGTTATAGGTGGGTGTAGATAAGTCGAAGAATCGAGGACAAAAGGTGGGAGAGGTGCAGGTTCCAGAGAGAAGCATCGGCTACGCAAACTGAAGGGAAAGAAAAATAAAAGCGACCCAAACGATTCTCAAGACGCTCAGCATTTCGAGCTCTTGAATTCTTCTGTGTACTCGAAGGATTTTCACTAATGAAATAATTAAAATTACAAAGCTCGCAGGCGTTTGCTTGAAACGCATGCCTCTCTCTCTCTCTCTCTCTCTCTCTCTCTCTCTCTCTCTTTCCCTCACTCTCTTTCTTCCAACACTTTTTGTACTATTACTTCTATATACCTTTCCATCTTCTTCTATTTCGTTTTCTACTGCCTTTCACTCTCTTATTTTTCATTTTCACGTCTACTTCCTTCTTGGGAATTCCATAGCATCAAACTCTTTGAAATTCCACTGCGAGTAAACTCATTCCTTGAAATCATTATTTCAAGGAATGAATTTAGTAGAAGAATTGTTGTTTAACTATTGATTCATAATTTTTATGACGAAAATTATTATTATTATTATTATTATTATTATTATTAATTTTCTTTAAACTCATGGGCTTTTATAATGATGCAAAAGAAGTATATGGGCAAATCCACAGAACCGGCCGATTTTTACTTATCAAGATGAAAATTTTCCAAATAGCAAGCACACCTTTTATTTATGGTTTACTTTCTTTAAAATATATTCAAGAACAATTATCTTCTTGCGTGATTCATTTTATTTTAATGCCGTTTGAGTTAAAAGCCAAAAACGAAAATATTATTTTTCTTTTGGAAATTATAATTAAAAATGGCATTTCTTTGTTTTTTTTATATATTATTTGAAATATGTGCAAAACATTTTGAATAATAAAATATGATAAAATACAAATAATTAATTTTTTAATTATCAAAAATAAATTATTTATATTTTATCATATTTTATTATATATTTTATTTATTAGCATTTAATTTTTTATTTCTGTAAATTAAATTGTTTACTTACTAATTTTGATATTAACTATTTTAACCAACAAACTGACATTATTGACATCGATTTTGATATAACTTTGAAAATAAAACAAATGAAAGGATAATTCATTTTTCACGATTAACTAGTTAAATTTCGATAAATTTTTTTTTATTTTTAATTTTTAGACGTTATAAATTGAAAATATAATTTGGCGTTTGCATACAAGAATTATAATAATGTCTTTATATAATCACACATGTTTTCAACTCATCATATTTTATCCTGTAGTTGTGCTACTGAAAAAAGGCTAAGTTGAAAATGGTTCACGCTTAAACATAGAGTGATAATTATTGGAATATTTTCTTTAATTCTGATTGCACTCTATTCTATGATACATACATTTGTTCGTCTGTTCACAAGCAATAAGCTCCAATTTGAAAAATTCAAATCGAATAATCGCCGCAAAAGATATTTACAAAAATGTATAGACATTTCATTATTATAAAATAATGAGTAACGCTACTTTCAACGACTATCATTTCTTTTTATTTAAGAGCACATATTTTTTATTACTTTCAAAACATTCTTCAATAAGTAAACTATAATTCACCACAGTTTGGAATTGTTCGGATCTATGCCGAACAAGTTATACCTATAAGAATTAAAATTTATACCTGGAGTAACACCGTAAATTTCATTTTTTAAGTTACTTAATTCGATTTTATTTTTTATAAAAGACTAGAAGGTTCACATTTATTCAATTTTCTTATTTCAATAGGTTCTCAGAGATATTACAAAATGGTTGAAGTATGAAAATAATTAATATAATACTTCTAAAATAGAAAAATATGTGAGTAACATGAAATCGGCCGGTTCTGTGGATTTGCCCATATATATATTTTGCAATAGCAAAGTGAGAGAAATAACTCTCAAAGATCGATAAAAACGTTTTCATTGGACAAAGAGAGAC